TAATAATTACAACAAACTAGTGGAGTAATTTCACAAAAAATAATTGAGTATCAATTCAATAAAAATTTAATTAAAACAGTTTATTTTTATGCTCGCCGTAAACTGCGCTTTTTGAACACATCACATAGGGTTTATGATATGTGTGTAGATAAAAAATAACAAACAAAGTGCTGCGCACGGGTATCTTCCCAGACGAGGGTTTTAGGCCATAGTCCGCCACGCTGCTGGCTCAATGCGGGTTGAGAACTTTATACATTTTCCGCGAGTTGTGAACTTTCCTCGACAAGCAGGTTCGACATCACGATGTTCTTTTTTCACAGCCGCTTTTTTATCTATTTATTTTTTACAGTTTGAAGATGGCCGCTACATGCAAAGCGGGATCGTAGCTTGGGATGTTGGCTGTGAGGGGAACATGGTATATGTAGACGTATCCAACTTACGGGACTGGATCGATGACAAGGTCAAGGGGAGAGGGTACAGCACCCGAGAATACTCATTTAATATTTAAATAGATTTAACTAGAGATGGCAATAACGACTACTTGTGAAATAATGAATGTTAGTTCGATCCATAAAACGGATTATTATTTGGAGACAAAATACCTGCACTTGTACACTTTTTTATTGTCAGTTAAGAATATTATCACTGTAACGACTTATTTTATCTCATTTAGATGTCCTTAGTTTTGACCCAATCTAAAATATTGTCGTATTTGTTATCTGCACAGCAGTCTCTCTCTAGAAACCAAAATATTGCCGAAGAACAAAACGATAACGCCCGCTATTACCACCCGACCCTGTTGCCTTGGCACTCGCAATTAGACGAAACCTCTGTTTGTCTTTAGCTTTGTTTTAGTAGCTATGTTATTTTTCAAATACTGTTATTACATATCCTGTTATTCTGTTCTTATGTCGTTTTGCATATAACATGATTAGTGATAGTGAGTGAATATTGTGTAACCTGTTATGGTTGAAACAACATTTTTACTAGCACTAAAAGGTTAGTTAGAAGAAATACCCTTTCGGGATAAGCTCGCCTTAACACTAACGTTTTAAATTACTTGTAGTTTGTTTTGTTGTATAATATGTGTTACGTACATACTGATACTAATGTACAAGAATAGAGAAGGCTATTTGACAGTTCTTCAGAAAACAAATCGATGCCTTACTTTCTCAAATTCGTATTTTATAAAGAGTGATTATTCAGGAGACGGTAAAACTTTCTATTTATTTTAAATTTCTTATCAAGGGTGTTAATTTGAATGCTTTACTTTAAGAATAGGTAAAGGCCAGTGTGTAAATATGAAGGAAATGTGATATAAAATCACCTTGCAAAATTTGTATATACAGCGCAATTTTTTCGTGAGTTTTAAGATGCGAGTTTGAGAAAATAAGGCAACGAAATGTGATTCTGTTATATTTTGTGTTATTGTAGTTGTTGACGATAACCCTTAACCAACTAATCATAACAATATGACTGTTTTCGGCACTAGCCCCCGTAGTATGCCGCCTCGATAAAGCTATTATATCCACATTTAGCTGTCAAATTCGAGTGATAAACCGGTGATAAATTGTAAAATTTTATCACAATAGCGAACATAGCGAGCACCGTGACGTGACATTTTTATGTCATTAACCAATTAACACAGTGCCAAACAAGGTTACAGCTGATTTTAAAACATTTGCACAGTAATTTTATCAACGTAAAAATTGAGCGCGACAAACCAGATGAAAAGACATTTTTTTTGTTTCATTGTTTTCGCGGCGATGATTAAACGAAAAAGATAGCTTATACGCAATTTCATATCGTGGTCCTTGTTCTTGAAAATGAATAGCAATACTTCATTACCAAATAAGCAAACTTAGATTTATCAATTGAATTAAATATTGTCACGGGAAGGTTTATCACAAAATTATCACATATATTCTGCCACGCTACGTCCACAATTGTAATTAAATTGATTGATGTTAACTGCCAATTACATGAAGCACAACATCGTAGTTTGAACTATGTGCCTTGTAACAATAAGATAATTGATAACAATAAAATATAAAATGGGAAAGAGAACTTTTTGTTGGTTTTTAAGATTATAATGGTAAGATTTGCCAATCGTAACATCATCATTTGAGCACCGCCATTTTTATCTATTGCTAATTACGTTTCAATTAGTAATTGCCCTTCGATCCATTAACTCCCTTTCACTCTCCATACCTCTCTTTAATTCTGGCTTCATATCTGATTCCTTCGCTCTCCATTTGACACGTCTCTGGAATGCTCTCCCGGATTCCATCAGAAGGTCGTCAAAAACATCGTGCATAAATAAAATACATTAAAAAATACTTGTTACCCTTAAAAAAAACCTCTATTCTTCGCAAACACTATAAGTTATATAACAGAATTCTAAAACAGTCAGTAAACAAAGCTAAACGGCTATATTATGCAACGCGTATTAAAAACTGAAATAATATTATAAAATAAATAGATTAAAAAAAAAACAAAAAAAAAAAAAAAAAAAAAAAACAACGACGTTCGATCAGCTGCTGATTTGTTTTGTTTTCCTTTCCTCTGCGTTTAATTGCAAATTTATATAGTTCATTCAAAGTGATACTGAACGGAGTTGTAACGCAGGTCATTTCGCCGTTTATTATTATTATTAAACAAAAAACATTACGCGATCGGATTGTTATTAGATATGAGGAAAGCCTGTGATGAAGTACAATATACCATTCTACTAAGTAAACTGTATGGCTTAGGTATTAGGGGTGTAGCATATAAATGGTTGGAATTAAAACATAATTAATTCCAATTTTACGTACGCATTGAGGGAGATAAAGAAAACGATTATTATGCATACACTCATTCCAACTTAAGTTACTGAATTATCCTTTGGGGAAATAGTGTGAATGCACGAGAAGTATTTATAATTCAAAAAAAGTGCATCCGTATTCTCGCTAATATACAGAGTACTGCGAGCTGCAGACCGTATTTCAAACAATGTAAAATCTTAATTTTAGTTTCCATTTATATTGTCGAGATTTGTGAATTTATAAACCAGCACCCTGACTTCTACACCAATCTTGACGGTCTCCCGCCAATCATTAAGAATGAGAAAAAGTATTCACACTTTCTTAATAAATTGAAGTTATACCTAAACATGTTACTACAATTTAAGTGAATACTTTAATGACAAAATATAATATTGTAATAAATTTTAATAATTAAATTAAGACATAATAAATGAATCATAAAATATTCGTCTTATAATGTAATATATATAATCTTGAAATATTCATATTAATTATATTGCAATTTAATTTTACCGGAATTTTCTCAGTGACGTACTTTTATTATACATATATTGATAGTGAACAATTGAAGTGGCTAATCCAAGCCTCGGCCTGCCTCTGTTCTTGTTGTTATCCCTAAGACAGGCAGACAGGCTCATATGTGTAATTTTAATGTTAAGACCTTATGTACCATATGAAGACAATAAATATATTGAGTATTCAGTATTGAGGTCTTCTAGTTTATTCTCTTTCAAAAAGAATATCCATGAGCATCTTTTAAATAGTTTATCACGGCGACAACCATTATCATCTTCAGTTATTTTATGGCAGCAGGTAGATACATAAAAAAAGTAAGAAAGTTTATAAATAGAATAATCCCTCGAGGTCCTTACCCTGGGTCTTTCCCCTTTGAATTGCTAAACTTATTCTTTGGCGGAAATAACTGCCAGGCCTGTGGTCACCGGACGCTTCTACGAGGCGATCCGACAGCTCATTCGCTGGAAGTTTCGCCTGGGACCCAGGGTTTCAACCGCAAAAGGTACAAAGCTGTAGCATTGAGCAAGGTTGGCGTATTTGAGCCTTTTGCGGTTCTCGGCCGCTCTGGTGACAGAGCCTGCGCCGCCGACGCTTGCAAGGACGGGGCTACAGTGTCCACACAGGTTGCCTCCCACACTAGCTGTCTCCCTAGTATCCATGGACCGACAGTCATACCGTCAGGCCTCTTACCGTCACTGCGATAGATGCCAGTGGGCTCGAGAACTGCCGGTATCTTAGTGCTGAAGAAGGCCCGTACGATGATGCTATTGTTATTGTATGTATCTTTTATGAAGATATATTATATATATACATATATTTAAGTATTATATGTACGTTTGTTATATATATGATTATATATTTATTACATTTATGTTATTAATACATTACTAATTTAATATTTTGTTTACTTTGCCGCATTAGTGAATTTGGTTTTACTCAAAGGTTGAACTAGAAGAGAATGCTTTTAGCATTAAGTCCGTCTTTTTGTACCATTTCGTATTGTGGTCAATATAGTTTAATAAATAAATAAATGATTTAATAGTTATAAACAATGTCAATTAGGATTATATTACCTTCATCGTGCCATAAGTTATCGCTAGCATAATAAAATTGATATTCTCTGCTTTTTTAATAAACAATTTCGAATTTAATATGTTTATTTTAAATGTTCCTTTGCACCTTTTATAATAATGCCTATACATGCCATACACGCCGTGTCTCGTTGCAGGTAAACTTGCTTAAACCAAGTACGAGTTTGTGGACTGGGTTATTTAGAAATCAAATAGAATAGAAATAATTTATTCATTGAACAAACAACACAGTACACAAACATTTCTTGCGAAAGAGTTCCCTGCCAACATTTTTGCCGCCAAGAAATAATGTTAGCATTATTGTGTTCCGGTCTTGAAGGGTAAAGGTGCTGGTGATATTACAGGCCATGGGACTTGTCAACTTATGTCTCTGCGTGACAGATGCACTGGCAGCGCCCCTCAGATCTTTGGGATTTTATAGCTCTGAGTGGCACTGCAACTGTTATAGACAGGCGTGTACCTTATCATCAGGTGCACGACTTGTTCGGCCTGTCACTTGTATTATTAAAAAAAAATATATAATAATAATAAAAATAAAAACAAAATAAATAAAATTCAATTGTCCTCTCACAAAAAACACAAACATAAAAATACAGGTTGATCGATAAAGGTGCTGTGAAACGGATTAAGAAAATTCGCGCAAGGGACGACCTATCCTGTAGACAACCAAATTCACAGAGAATTAATTCACGTAAGGCGAAAATGTCTATACGAACAATAAGTATTTTATGTAGTTCGAAAATGAAATTTAGTTATCTATGTTGGATACTTATAATATTAAACTTTAAAACTTACTTTAAAATGTATCATTATTTTTTTTCTCTTTAACAATCTTAGATATAATTATTAATACGAAGATCGAACACTCAGTCTTTGTATTAATAATTATAACAAACTAGTGGAGTAATTTCACAAAAAATAATTGAATATCAATTCAATAAAAATTTGACTAATCTTAGATATAGTAATAATAAAAATAACATTAAGATTTAGATGAATAATTTACAAAATTACAAATGTTAATGTAGTACAAAGCGTGTGTGCTGTGCTGCCAAGGAAGCCGTGATCTACTCAGCTTGTTGTCGTTTCACTAAAGCGCTGGCCACACCGCGAGTGAAGCCAGCTAATTTAGCTAAGCTCACGTAGTAGCTAAGAAAATACGCGGTAAGTGTTAAGAAGATTGCATGCTTTGTGGTTTATGCATCATTGGTTATACGAAATCGTGGTATCATGAGTTTGGACTTAGGTTAATATTATAGATATCTTCTTTCTTAATGAAATTATGTATATTTTTACGGGCACATAAAATATTTGAGTAAATGTACTGCGATGCCACAGTTATGATACCAGTCTCCTTAAACTTTTCTCTGAGAGAAACCCGAGAGCCTAGACGGTACAAGAACGAATCACTCGTTTTTGCAATACAAATATGGTTTAAATATCTGCGTATGGCCCACGTATGAAATCACACAGGACGCACTGCAGGATGGCTTGCATTCATAATCCTGCATTACGCGGAGGACGGCAAGGCGGACTGCAGTGCAGGATAAAGGTCTATCCACACATATCCGGGCCGTGGTCGGGACGTGGACGGGCCGTGCTCCGTCAGGGGCTCAAAAAAATATCGTTGTGTATATTTGTATGAACTCGTTGACACATGTCCGTGTCTGGGTCGGGGCCGGGACGGGCCCGCAATTCATACAAACTAGCACGCCCCGTCCACGTCCCGGCCCGGATATGTGTGGATAGTCCTTAATGAATGCTTTTTAGTTTAGTTAGCTTAGTTCGTGGTGTGAATCGAAGTATGAAAAGATAACACAACGCTAGCCTGCATATAGATTTACGGCTCCCCAGAATAGTCCAATTCATGAAACAGGCATTGAGGAAATACTTCGATTCTGCTCCTCACCACCTCAAGCCCCTCGTGGTTGCTGCATCCAATTACGACCCCCTCAGGGAACACCCCCACCGCGTACGTAGGACCCGTCGGCCAAGAGAAAGTCCTCAACGACGCTGACGACCCTGTCACTCTTGCCACTTTGAAGGCCTACCGGATCGCTGTCTTCAACCAGTTATACTGTACCACCTCAGTCAAACGTGACCATGGGACCTGTAAAGGGCCCGAAACATCGGTTTGTTTGAAAAAACAAATATACGCGATTTAAATCCGGAAAAATAGTTTCATTTCCTATGTGTAACAATCGCGAAAACCTAAGAACTCGATACATATAATATTGCCAACATTTATTTTTGATTGCAATGTAATTTTCGTTCCTGTTCGGCCCACGTTCATGACATCGCCATGTTGTCTAACTGTGCTCCCCATGCCAGGCTACTCTCGACCTCCGTCCGACATCCGTCCGAAACAATTACTGTCAAATAAGTAATATTCGACAAAATTAAAAGACAAGTATCAAGAATGAATCTTCATACGCATCACGCGTCTTATCATTTGGTCAAGTAGTGCTTATTTGGCAGTAATTGCTTCGGACGGATGTCGGACGGAGATCGAGAGTAGACCCCTGGGGGTATTATCTGACCACAGACGCGTCAAATCTGGATCTGACGCGTCTGTGGTCAGATAATGACGTGGATCTGTGAAGCTTTGTGGCAATTCGTTAACCACCACTTTAGATCGTTGATGGCTGCCAAGAGAATCGGGTGGTATTTGTTTATGTGTGTCTGCAATACCAGTAGCATGTTTAATGGGGTCAGCAAAGCAATGTAATATAGGCGACCCTTTAGTACAGCAAAGCTTGCAAAGTTGAGGAGACCGACTAGACTCTGTAACTCGTAGAGCGACGTTACGCCCTTCTGGAGCAACCGATTTGCTCTGGCGATCACAGTTAGAAGTTTTTGCTCGGGAACACTTTTTGATTCTACCAAGTGTTCCAGCTTATTCCCAAATACACTAGGGTCTTTTGGGATATTAAGACCGATTTGTCGTAGTTTACCATCCAGCCTAGAATTTCTAACGTTTGTAGGATACAATCGACGTGTTCTCGGGGACGTCGTGGATCGTGATGCGCTATCATAAAATCGTCTAGGTAGACAATAATTCTGATTCCCTTTTCGCGTAGTTTCTGTGCGATCCAATTTGTAAGACTCGCAAATATTTTGGGGGCAGTGCTTAGTCCAAATGGGAGACTGGGAGGTCATCTCCAGCAGTTCGCCTTTGTAAATCAGTCTTAAAAACCTTCTGTGGCTGTGGCTTATTTCGAGATGAAAGTAAGCCTGTGACAGATCGATTATGCATAACCAATCGTTTTCCTGAAGGAAGTCCGGTATTCGACAAGCGTTTATAAGACGAAACGTTTCGGCTAGCACATACTGGTTCAGAGCTTTTAGATTGAATATCGGTCGTGCAGAACCATCGCTCTTGGGATCAGAAAACTGGGAGATATTGGAGCCAGATTTAGGACACCCTGACGTTTCATTTGGTTTATTATAAAAGTGATTTCTGGTAATTCTAAAGTATGATAATCGGTTTCCTGAGACTTGGGTAAATGAGAGGGGGTTTTAGTTGAAACGGTACCCTCTTATATTTGTAAAATGTACTTTGGCACCCCCATCACTTTCCCTTGATCGTAAAACTGTACAAGGCGACCTGGAACGAGCTCAGATCAGTATTTGCGCCTCTTATTGCCTCTGTATTTTGAGGAAGATAAGGCTCGCTTACGATTGCCTACATATTGTCCTTGGGGCCTTTGTCGGGGACGGGACTGCCGTCCACGACAGGAATTATTTGGTGAACCACCAGCATGGCGCGTGTTGTGCCCTTGCGTAACTAACTTGCGATGTACCCTGCGAGGGTGGTGGATTGCAGCATGTAGCTTGCATGTTATGGGCACATGGTCCCACGGATGTACCCTGCGAGGGTACCGGGTGCTGTATATTCCCCTGCGAGGGGCAGCCGTTTATCTTACCAGGTCCCGCCTGCGAGGCGGCACCAGAGACGATAGCGTTTTTCTTTTTCAGAGGCCAGAAACATTTTCTTATTCCGCCAGACTTTTTAATCGAAGACGAGAAGGATTTTTCATTGAATAAGTTGTGCCACGACGGAGGAATTTTTAGCAGACTACCTTTTAAAAGCGGGTCTCGTACGTGGTTGACAATCCCGTCGCGACGCATCTATATTACTTCCGCACGATGGCCACAAATTAATTGAAGTAAGTCCGAGGAAACTTTTTGAAAGTCACCTGGAAAAAAAACCTGTTAACTTTGCAGAAAGATTTTCAAAAGTAACGGCCTGTTCGTCTTTAGTCCAGTTAAACAATTCCCTCAAAGTATCTTCTAAGGATTCTCTTTGTTTAAGAAAGCAAAAAGTCAATGCCGCATAAGCCTTTTCAGCGTATAACAAGTTGCGAAAGGTATCGTACTTCCTCGTTTACCTCTAATTTAACAAAACCTGGTGAATGATTATACAATTTCTGGGTTTCTGCATATCGCAATTCACACCATTCTTTTTTATCAAACATTTGAAATTCATGTACATGTTTTAACTGCGACTCTGAGGACTTAGGAACAGAAGGTTCCTTTAACTTGGTAGCTATATTTAAATTAAAAAGATTTTGAGAGTCACGACATCCACTTGGGTCATTACAAACACTAGGATTGTCATCCATCTTGGGCAAAGGCGGTGGAGACTCGGCACCATATTGCACGTAAAGATCCTGCTCACGTCCGTAATGTAACCACTTTTTATTTCGGCAAGCTGTTCATAAAGTTCATGAACTTGTTTGGAAAGCTCATTTGACTCACGGTTTGATTGTTGTGAATGTTTGCCCCCCTTTTCTTTTGGCGGCGGCGTCGTGATCTTCTGCGATTGCGAGAAGAATCCGACGAGCTTGAACTGTTGCTGGAACTTGAGCTGCTGCTGGAACTCGAGCTTGAAGAGGATGAAGACCTTTGCTTGTTTTTATCGTTTCCTTCCGTCCTAGGATATATCGCACTTGAAATTACACGAAAAAGCCTTGTTAACACTAGCTAAATCATTTAACACATTTAGGTAGGGTAGAACTAAAAAGTATTAGTTCTACTGCGCTATAAATAGAAAATATGAAAAACGTACGGCAAAGCCGTTAAATAGTGTATAAACGATCGACACTAAATTGATCATGTTTAATTCGTTAAATAATTTTACTGTTATTAAATATTAAAGATTCTAAATTCAGATACATTCAAAAATATGTGTATTACTTACATGACGAAGTAATTTCACCGTAAAATTTTAATTCGAAGTATAAAGTATTATCTTTAATATGTTTGAACACGGCGAGAATCTCGACGCCAATGAGAATCAAAATGTTGCCTCTTCCAGCGTGTTCGCTCAGCTGTAACGTCCAAAAGCTGGGAGAATAACCATGCGGTTGATGACATCTTAACCAGGGGCAATTGGCGGTCTAGCAACACATTCAGAAAGTTTTTAAGGCGTGAAGTAATGCCTACTTCTGCTAAAAGAGGTGTTACTGATTTATTTGTACCAATTATATAATTAATGTCCAAAATTTTGTGACTCTGTGATTTCAATTTAAGTTCTCATACTCGTAAATATAGATTCATACTCACTTATATTGGTATTTAAAATTTTACCTATTTAATAATTCCTTCTTCTGTACCTACTTAATATCTGCTACACATTGGCGTCCACGGCGTCAACCTTTTCCCTACCACCAGGCGATAACAGACACGTCTCATATATGCTATAAGCTTCGAATAACGGTCAAGTCAAATTAATAGAAGCGTTTTACCTACCAATAAAACGCATATTAATTTACTTACCATATTCGAAGCTTATAGATAATTTCTTCCTGGTGCATGTACATATTCGACACCATGAGAATCAAAATGGTGCCTCTTCTATCCACCACTCGCCACCCCATTTAGCGGTGGTGGTAGTAAACGCAAGAAAGAGATGACGATATAGGGTAGAAAGAGATGGATATGTAGGCGGGAACAGGTGACTGCTATCTCATGTATGCTATAAGCTTCGAATAACGGTCCAAACAAATTAATACCAACTATACACGTAGAGGTGAGACGAGCGGCGGCCGCCTTCTTTGCCTCAACTTAAGGAAAATAGCCCTAAAATTATTTTTTTGGAAACAAATAGTGAAACAAGAAGTTACTTTATTTTTGGAAGAATAAGGAATATATCTAAGGTATGTATTTGGTGCAAAATAATAACAATATATCTTACAATGTGTTCACGTGCGTTATACGTTTGGTTTGATATATATAAACAAAATCTTTATTTAATACAACTGCCTCCGTGACCGAAAGGTTACCATGCTGGTCTGCCACGCAGAGGTAGAGGGTTCGATTCCCGGGTCGGGAGAAATATTTGTATGGCCTATATTTATTTCTCTCGTGAGTTTGGATGTCATTTGTGCTTGTCTTTGTGTGTCCATAGATGGTAATTTTATTAACTTTGCCTTTTCCAACAATGTATAATGAACATTAAGTAATTGGTAATGACAATCGTTTACATGGAATAAATATAGTCGTGGTAGCCTAACGATTTCACCTATCGCCTCTCAAGCAAAGGTCGTGGGCTCCTATCCGGGTCCGAACCTCTGAGTTCCTTGGTATTTATATGCAAAATTTAATTTGAAATTTACTACGAGCTTTTCGGTGAATGAAAATATCGTGATAAAACCTACACGTCGAAGAAGGTTCACAACTCCCGGAGAACGTGTCAAACTTAAACTTGAATCATCTTATTTCACAGACAAGAAATGACACTATAAATCATAGTTTCCCAAAGTGGCGCCTATTAATGGGCGTTGCAAAGTCCTAGGGGGCGGTAAGGAAGCAATTGGGGGGCGTTGATGCTATCCAGGGGGTGCTACTGCATTGGAAAAAAATCTTTTAGTAGTACCAGTAGAGCTCCTTGTGAAAGAGCTCGTCCAGGGAAGTACTGCCACCTTATCTACTTCTGTACATAACCCAGCCTGTACATAACCGATAGTTGCATAGATTTACACTCAGTTTTGTATAGCCATCTTGTATTCGCCATGTTGGAAAATTTTTGATCTCGGTAGAACCTAACAGAATGAAGAAGAAAGGACCCTGTCCTTGACAAGTTCTGTTTGAAAGCCAAATAGCCATCTCTCAGCCTTTAACGGGCCTTTTATCCTGTTTACTCGCCAAAACCGGTCGGTTACCATTAAGCCTCTCACGGGCCATTGCCATGGTGCCATTATATATGTAGATTTTAAGACTTTCGTGGTTATTCACTAAATGATCCAACCCAATGAATGAGTCAACCCGTGACCATGGAGCGTGCAACCGTTCCGAAATATCGGGAAAATAAAAAGAAGTCATACCGTGGTAAGAAACCTGATATTAGTGATAATCATTTAGTGCCATTATATGATTGACTATATTTCGATAATAATATAATTAATGTAATCATTTCATTAATAATATTATATATAACATAATTAATTAATAATTGACCAATTAATTATGCCATATCTTATCTATTTATCTTATCTGGCATAATATTTTCTAAGCACAAATGTAATGTTTTTTTCAGTTATGTTATTTTTTATTTCCGTAGGTTATTTATGGGTCTCATCATCATCATTATATACAGCCTTTCTTCACCCACTGCTGGGTATAGGCCTCCAAGTTTCTTTGCCACTCCCCACGATCCCGTGCCAATCTCATCCAGGTTCGCGCCCCCCAATTCCTGCGATGTCATCCGGCCATCTCGCCGCTGGACGCCCGACGTTCCTCCAGGCCTTGGACGCCACTCAGTTATCGCCTTACTCCATCTGTCATCTTGTCTCCGTATCAGGTGCCCTGCCCAGCTCCACTTTAGCTTTGCGATGCGGTTCCCCACGTTCTTTACCTTAGTTCGACTTCGGATCTGGTTTATGGATAAGGTATTATATATTTAGAAGTTGTTTTACCGTACACATTTACTTATTTTGTAGGTTGCTGCTGTAGTAGGTTGCTGTAGGAGTAAATTTGAACTTTAAATTTATCATGTACCTATAGGGATAATGTTACAATTTTAAAAAATTTCAGCGTCATAGGTAATGCATTTTTTATTTTTGGGGATAATTATTTATTTTAAAATTCTAGTCTGAAGGTTCTACTATAACTTGTAAGTCATATGAAATAATACTTTCTGCTAGAGCATTATATTATATATTTAGCATTATAGAGTAAGGCACTTTGTATTTAATTACATAGAATTTAGCTAACATAACTCTGAGTTTGTCATTAACATTTTCTGTGTTTATCTCATTCAAATCTGTTATCAATAATTATACTAATAAGTATGTTGGCTAATTTTCTCTAATGGTGAAAAGGTATAGATGAGTTTATCAATCACCTTTTTTGTTCCATCATTTGATATTATAAAAAAGCTAAACGGGTAAAAGCCTGCCTGCAAGAGCTAAGCTTGGCTTTGTCCAAAACCCAGAGAAGTCTGAGAGCAGACGTACCCAGCAATTGGGTGTATAAATCATGATATACGTACAGTCAACGGAATGTAGGGTCCTTCGCCGACACTAAATGACCCATCTTTATTACAACTGGAAAATGTTATAAGACTGCACCGAAGCAGCGATACGTAATTGGGTTCCCTTCCTGTATCGTTATTACTAAAACTTTACTTATGAAATTAAATATTCTTAGAAACACGATTACTTGTTTCCTCTATAGAAAAAACATCCAAAGTTATTTCTACAGAACAGGTAAAGGTATTAAGGAAAAAACAAACTTGTTTTATTTTTCTGTTAATATTTACAATATCTAACCGGTTCTTGTGACTAAAGTACCGGCACGCTATGATGGCCGTTTTGACATGGTTTTGACGTTTGTCCGGTCATCAAGTTTCGTATTAATTCATAACTACGTTGAAGGAGGAGCATATATTAAGATTACCATTTCCTAAGTTTAAAATTTACATTAAAAGTATTTTAATTGAAAAGTCATATTACAAAATTGTAGACTACGTATCGATATACGTATCCACACAAATATGATTCAAAATGTATTACATAGCATTTAAGTTTATTTGAAAAGAGCAATCCCTAGAGTTTCTTGCTCGTTATTCTCAGGGAGGTCAGCGTTGTGAAAGAGCTTAAAAAATGACGTTTTCAAGTATAAAAGTTTTGCCTATGGAATAAATGATTATTTGACTTTGGAGCTAATTGCTGTACGTTGTTGACAATTGTGACGTGCTGTAAAATTTATGTATAATTTTACGACACAACTATGATATGTTTTTCGAAATTCGAAATTTTAAAAATGAAATTTGAAACGATCGTCATTTATAGGATCGTTAGCCACGTTTTTATTTTCGTTTTATTAAAACTTTTTAATCAGCTACCCCTTGCAATGCTAAAATTAGATCATATTTTTTAACAAGAACTAAAAGGGCGTTCGGCACCCAAAGCCCGTTTTGATGTTATTGCAACAAAACATGTAAAACACTATCTAGTATCTCGTGACAAAAACTCATATCGACCTCCCTTCTAGATGGCGTAAGTTTCATTCATTTAGTAGGTGGCGCTCCGCCCTTGTGGCATAGATTATAAATGTGCGGTTGAATTTCGGATACGTTGGAGTATGGAGCATCTAGGAAGCCAGTGAGATCTGCTGAAGATGATTCTATCGATTCATCTCAATCCAGCGAAAGTAATGAATGATTAAAAAAACTTTTTTAAGGTTTATTCATGTAACTTTTAAATAAGACTGATTCACAATTTAATCCTTAAAAACCAATGATAAAACGAACGCCCCATTAATTTACCGGTTTGATAATTTGATACAACAAGGGCGGCTAACATGAGGAAAAAAATATTTTCAAATGTTTCCAATCGTTTTAAAATAATAATAGCAACTGAATCTTTCAGCTAAATCATGGGACAAATAAATAATAAAGTATATAGGGGTCATATTATAAATATTAAAAATACACAAGTATATACACCCCTGAACCAATAGAACCAATATATGCACCCCCGAATACCAAGTGACGCGGACGAACAAGTCATGCCCTGGTGGTAAGCGACGCGCCTATCCATAACAGTTACAGTGCCATTCAAAGCTTTAAGTCGCAAATGTTTAGGGCACCCGCCATAAATGCCATATTTGTATGCAGTGAGCACCCATTAAAACACTGAAGACGATACCCATATTCATTTTAATTGAAAAAGTCGTGTCCGCCATCGATTAAGAAATAATACCATACTCGAATTGATAATGGGTAACTGCAGCTTGATTTTAGTTGCGGCGCGTCGTAGAGGTCCGCCATTTAGCTTTTGAAAAGGTTTTGCAAAATATAATTTCATTATCTAAAACTCCAAACAAAATAAAATTCTACGGTTCACCTTTCTTCTGTATGCGGAAACTGATACAATTTAAGATTTTTATCTATGCGAGATGATGACAGCTGTCAGAGGAAGTATTTAACGTGAATGACTCAACCCTCAATGGTGTGTCCCGAGCGAGTGTATGGCAGCTCGGGTTCGCACCCACCCCTCACTCGTCTCGCACACCCCGCACAATTACTGTGTCCAGACGTGTCCGTTAGCCGACTGTAGGATTTGGTTAGACTGCGGTTATATTGTGTAGATTTTTATTAGCTGTCACAACTCACAGGTACAATCCTAGATTATTTTTAGTATTTTGTACGTGGCAGCTTCTATATAACTTGTTTTCACAAGTAAATGTATTATTATTATTTTTATATTTATTTTAAACTCTAGCCTCTCCCAAGGCCTAAAAGACTAATTTTGAATTTTTAAATGGGAGAGGCGGTATTTCCCGGCAATGCCACTATTTGGGACTTAACATTGTTTACCTCTCATCTTCAGAAATAATATATATTCTTTTCACAGATGTTCAAGTTTCTCCTTCTGTCACTACTCGCCATGGCAGCAGGTCGAGACGATTTAGAATCAGTATTAAGCCAAATATTCGGTTCGTCAACACCGGCAACCGGTAACATCGGTAGTGGTACTAACACCGGCAACGTCGGTGGGAGTCTTGGTAACAATAATGGAGCGACATTGGGATCATCCACTAATACACCGCCGGGAATAAATAATGGTAGGTAAAATATCTTGTAACTATAGGGTTTTATCGATACCTCCAATCCTCCAATGAACACTTACGCCAACTTAATGTTTGGACCTGTTGTTTTTATTTTGTTTTCGGTTTCTATACTTTTTTCACAAAAAATTCGGGGAGTAAAATATTAGCAAATAAATACTTCTGTTTACAAAAATAACAGCAAATGACTAAAAAAAAACAAAACTGGCATAGTGTTAATTGGAGGTATCGTTATAATGACGTGTGGGATCATGGCTACTTAAAAAATGTTAATAGCTCGCGCGGGAATAGAGCGGGAATGGAATTAAGTAAATAATTCGAGGGTTTTG